AAAAAAAAAAAAAAAAAAAAAAAGATGACGAAGGAGAAGAGAGAGAGAGAGAGAGAGAGAGAGAGAGACTGGCACCTCGGCGAAGGCTGGCCGCGATGGCGGGCACCTCGGCAACGACGGGCAGCGGCGGCGGGAACTGACGACGGGCACCTCGGCGACGACGGCTAGCGGCGGCGGGAACTCACGACGGGCACCTCGGCGACGACGGCTAGCGGCGGCGGGAACTCACGACCGGCAGCTCTCGTCGAATTCCACGACGGGCAGCTCTCGACAATGGCTACGGGCGGCGGGAAGTGACGACGGGCAGCAACGGGAACCTCCACGGCGGATTGGCGGACCTTCGACGAACTCGGTGTTCGAATTCGAAGGCCGCCCCTGCGGCCATGCGACGCGCGACGAAATCTTTCGCACGGGGGGGTGGGAAGGCTCCCGAGACCGCCAACAAATCGTAACAGGCCAACCCCCCCCCCTGCACAAAAATGCGCTGGGCCCGCCCGGCTTCCAACCGGGGGACCCAACCGGCCCGGCGGCCCGGAGTTTAGCACATATTTTTTTTAAGTTTTTTTTTTTTTTCTCTTTTTATCCCGTTGGCTTAAACCAACGGTCACTTCGAAAACGTGTGGCTTTTCAGCCACGCTTTGTCGAAATGCAGGCCCAGGTTCGAACCCCTTCAGACCGTTTCTCGATTTATGCGTGCCATCCTTGCGCAGTGGCCACATCGAATCCGCGCGGCGGATCTCGGCCGCGCGATCCTATCGATCGCATGGCCAAAATCGGTCGCGCCTTCGCGAAGGCCAGCTCCAAAAGGAGCCAGCCCAGGGGTGTATGTCGGATTCAATCCCCGCCCCTCTGGGGTAAGGCTCTGATATGTTAACCTTCTGGGCTAGCTCCTACCACGAGAGCACTAGGAGCATCTCTTTTATAAGAAGAGACCAGCCCAGCCACCTTTCCTGCCTGCAGCATAGCAGGCACCGCCTGCTCCGACCCCTCCCACATAACCTTTGCAGGCCCTGCCTGCTTGTGGCCCCGCAGACCCTACTTACCTGAGGCCTTAGGCCCTGCCTGTCCGCCGCCCCGTGGATGGCTACCCATCCACGGCTTCGGGGTCACCCAACGGATAGGCCTAGGCATAGGCCTGTTGGTCCCCTGGCTTGAACCCGGGGGGCCCGGTAAATAATAAAAAAACTTCTCATATCTCCCACGTCAAAGCCCCATACCCGGCGCAGCCCTCTTTTTAGCCTACATAGATCCTGAATCGCACAACTGCTACATTATTTTAGATAGAATAGGTATAACTTTAGCGTTCCCATGTCCGCACATTCCTGCGGCTTCCTCAAAAGCAAAGCATTCAAGTTTCCAGTTATTGTTGCTACTCTCGAACGTCACACGTGTCCGAACTAAAACTGGAAACTTTTAGTCTCTTAGTCACAGGCCTGGTCTGAATAAACTTTTGGCAACGTGTGTCTCATCAAGTCCTTCAATCCAACGAAAAAGTCGGACAGCGTCCGACGTTTAAAATCCCCAGCAAATACCCTTGTCAGGGTATTTGTCCCGACAACGCTACGGTCCCGATGCCTATGCGTATACCAAGGGAGAGCCCAACTCAGAGGAAACCGGCGAAGCGAAACCATCATGCGACACAACCAAGGTATTGTACAGGGTAAGGTGATAAGAGAGTGACGACGTCTGAAGTAGGCAGAGCTGATCGTGACGAAGGTCGTGAAGCTGCCGATGACGTCCATGATGAAAAGTCTGGAATGCCGTTGAGGAAGAGCCGCAACGTCGATAAGCTGAAGTGGATGGATCTGAGAAGTCAAAGACGTGAAAAGATAAGTCGGAGTCAATCGTCGTATCGAGCAGGACGACGACAAGTGCATTGTGGACGCTAAGAAGCATCTGGCTGCTGCTGAAGGTCCGCCTCAGATGGAGCAGGCTCGACTTCAGCAGTCTTCTCAACCGAGGGAGAAGGAAGAGGGTTAGTAAGCTGAGGAAGAGCAGTCAACCCAGCACGACGAGCACAGTCATAGGCACGCACCAACATGCGAGCGTGTTGCAAGTGCTCGAGGGGCTCCCAAGTAGCCTCCTCATCAGGGTAACCCTTCCAACGTACGAGATACTCGACGTGAGGAGGGTTGTCGTCGGTGACTCGGCGACCAATGATGTATGAAACGAGGAACTCCTCGTGGTCGTCCACCATGATGGGTGGAGGGCGCTAGTATGGTCGTCCAGCGAAACGCTCAGACGGTCTGCAATAGGGACGCAGTAACGAGATGTGGTGGACATCGTGCACACGAGTCTGGTGTAGGTAGTCGGGCAGCTTCACACGGAAGCTGACCGGGCTAGATGTCGTATCAGAACCGATGACCTGGAGAATGCGGCATGGCCCAAAGAAGCGACGCTGAAACTTCTGAAGCGTGCCCCCTTCGAGCTGTAAGTGGCAAACGTCGACAAGCATGTCACCGACTTTGAATGGATGATTCATCCTCGATCGGTTCGCACGTGCGGTCATGCGAGTCTGGGAAGCGACTATATGCTCATGCGCGGTCTTCATGATCGACGTTATGTGTGCAACCCAATCATCCAGTGCGGGACAAATCGTGTCGGGGTGCATCTGTGATGGTCGAAGGAAATCCGTGGGAACACGAGGGTGATAGCCGAGGTCGCAATAGTAAGGCGATATCCCCGTGGCTGGCGAGACGGCGTGGTTGTAGGTTATCTCCGCGTGGGCAAGATGGAGATCTCACTATTGGTCGTTACGAACAATCTTCCAGAGAATATCTCCAAGAATCCTGTTCGTGACCTCGGTCTGACCATCAGTCTGGGTATGGTAAAACGAGGATAAGCGGAGCTGGGTGCCGTACACCTCGTGGAGCCGTCGCCAGAATCGGTTGGTAAAGCGCAGATCACGGTCAGATATGATGCTCAGAGGTAAGTCGTGGTCACGCACGACTCGGTCAAACACGATGTCAGCGACCGCACCGATGGCATAGCGACACGGAACAAAGCGTGCGCACTTCGTGAAGCGATCGACGACGACCAAGATACCATCATGACCGCGGGGGGTCGGAGGACGAACAGGACCGATAAAGTCCATCAAGAGGGACTGTCAACGACCCTCAGGGATAGGAAGAGGCTAGAGCAAACCATAAGGCAGGTGATTTGCACTGTTCACATCCTGACAGATGAGACACTCTGCGACGTAGTCCTTCACAAAGTCCTTGCGCTTCGCCCAGACGTACAAGCGGCTCACATGAGCCAACGTCTTGTGGAAATCCATATGACCGGTGGCTACCTGGTCATGGAGCTCTGCTACTGCCCGGACACGTAGTTGTCCAATGGAGGGAACGCGGGCAACGAGTTGGATCTACTCCAGATTATAGTCAGGGCGCCGGGATAAAGCATCTGCGACCCGATTGGTCTCACCTTTTATGTGCTCAGTGGTGAAACTAAACTCAGATAGGTCGCGCCACCAGCGAGCCTGTCGAAGAATGAGCTTCGGCTTTGTAGGTGCGCACCATGAATGGTGGCCCGTGCAGGTAGTGACGCCAGTACCGAGTGACATAAACTACTGCAAAAACCTCACGTTTATCAGCAGTGTAGTTTATCTCGGTGGGCAGGACCTGACGGGAGTAGAGGCTATCGGACAATCGCCTGAGCGAGACTCGACAGTGTCGTCATCGGCAATGGTAGGAGAATAGTCAATAGAAGGCTCGTCAGTAGTTGGACGAGCAGCCGTCAGGCGAGAAGCAGTGTTAGGGGTAGGGGGTGGGAAGCGAGGGATGTGAGGATGAGAGGAATCAGGAGAGGAGGGGAAAATTTGAGAAAGCACTGCTCCTACAACAAAGTCTGACGCATCGGTGAAAAGGATAAAAAAACGATCAAAATCGAGTAGGTGAAGAACCGGTGCACATGTCACTGCCTTCTTGAGGGCGCGGAAGGCGTCCTCGTGGAGGGGTGTCCAAGCCCATGGCGGGTTCTTCCGGAGGAGGGTGGAGGTAAGGACGTAGGAATACCTAGCGTATCCCTGGATGAAATTACTATAGTAGCTAGTGAGGCCTAGGAAGTTGCGAAGCTGCTTGGCGGATGTGGGGATGGGTCACTCCGCAATAGCAGTGGTCTTCACGTCGTCCATGTCGAGACCCTGGTCAGACACGTAGTGTCCTAAGAAATCCACTTTGTGTTGGGCAAAGCGGCACTTGCTCAGCTTGGCGTAGAAGTCATGTCTGCGCAAGCGGTCAAGGACGTCGTAGAGGTGTCTGAGGTGCTCCTCAAGGGTACGACTGTAGATCAGGATATCGTCGAGGTAGACGAGAACGTACTGCTCCAGGATGTCCCTGACTCGGAAGATGTCGTTCATCGCCCTTTGGAAGGTAGCGGGTGCGTTGGTGAGGCAGAATGGCATCACCGTAAACTCATAGTGACCAAAGTGTGATCGGAACGCTGTCTTCGGCTGGTCCGCTGTAGCGACGCAGATCTGATGGTAACCGCTACGAAGATCAATCTTCGCAAAGAAGCGGTTGCCCACTAGGTGGTTGAACAGCTCGTTGGAACGAGGCATGGGGTAGTTGTTCTTAACCATGTAGTGGTTGAGACCTTGATAGTCTATGCAGAGACGGGGAGTTTCATCTGCTTTGCGAGCAAAGAGGACGGGTGCACCCCACGAGGATTTGTTGGGTTTAATGAAACCCAGTCTCAGGAGCTCCTCAAGCTGATGCTTGAGTTCAGCGGCCTCGGGGATCGAGAGTCTGTAGGGTGCCTGGTGGTGAACACGATAGTCAGGCACAAGCTGAATGGAGTGTTCGACATCATGCATCGGTGGGATGCCGGCGTACGAGAACGGCGATGGGAAAAAGTCATGGTACTCTTGAATGAGGTCACGAACTGCAGGCTCCAGGTCGGTCTTATAGCGTGCGAGTTCCTCATCGTCGGTGTCAGCGTGAGACGGCGGGGTGGACTCGACGAACGACGGAGGGAGGGAAGTAGAGATGGAAGCCATGGAGATAGAAGGAGGATCTGGCTCCAGAGAGATGAACTCGGCGTCTGGACAGGGTGGATCATAGTGCAAGAGATCCGTAACGTTCACCGTAAAAAAAGTGACGCCGTCCTGTCAGATGAAGTGGGCGAACTGTTGAGGCGAGGTGACAATGATAGTAGGAGATGGTGTGGGTACGGAAGGCTCCGGGGGAGGAGGATTGGGGCGTGGCATCGCAGTGGTACCTATGAAAGGTACGCAATACGGCTGTCCACACTTCGTTCTGAGAACGAGAGTGTTGGTCGCCCAATCGGCCTCGGTGCTGCGGAACTGATGAAACCACAAAGTACAGAGAATGAAATCGTACCTCATCTCCATCACATCGAAATGTGCAGAGGTGCGGTGGCGACGAGACGTCGGGGGATGATCAGTCGGGTCCAGAGTGAGGAAGAAAGGGAGGTCGATGATCGTCTGGTCGAAAAAGCGTTGAGTCTTGTCATCCCCTAGGGTGATGGAGATATGAGTCGGAGACCGTATCGTGGGTAAGCGGACTTCTTTCACCACACGTGGGTGAATGAAGTCACCCTGAGAACCGGAATCCCACAGTGTTGAGTACACCCTCGTGGAGGTCCCCAGACGTACTGGAATGATCGGGAGGGTGCGATCAAGGTCAGAGAGGATGGCGAGAAGGCGACGCAGTGCAGCAACATGGAGGGTGAGTCGCTTCTGACGAGCCTGGAGCATACTCAAGTCCACCACAAATTCATAAGGTAGAATGACCGTTAACCAAGGCGGTAGCGACAACTGTCACTAGTGAGAACGACCACTTGCATCGTTTGCTTGTGCGTCTTCCATCTCCTCACTCCCCTTTCTCCTTACCATTCCTTCCTCTCGTTCATTCTCCTCTTGCTTGACTTGGCTCTTCTCTTTCTCTATTCTCTTCCTCAAGTTCTTACGCCTTCAGTCCATCAAACTGATGCACCCTTCCAATTCGCCCCGGGCAAAGGATCCCGGGACTGGACTTCTTCTGCCCGACATCACTAAGAACAGGGCGGTCCGAAGCCCCCCATTATCGGCCAAAACCGAACCCACGCGGAGCCTCCACACTCTGTTCTGGCAAAACTATCGCCCGAAATCAGAATATGGCTCTGCCATCTGATTCGTCACGCCCTAAAACCCCAGAATGAAGTCTTATCTCGCCTGTTTCTGTCAAGGAACGAGCGAGGTATGACTTGTTCCTCCTTACTTGCTCTTCTTCTCCTTTTTCTCCTTCTTGTCCGTCTTCGTCTTCTTTTATCCTCCTCCTTCGTTGATGATCAGCGCAGCGCAGCTACTTATAGTGTGATAAAAAAGCGAGTCGGGATCCTCTTTTCACTGTCGGGGACTACTATTCAAGTAGCCTACACAGTATCCTCCCCTCGAACGTACCTGGCTAGCTTCGCCATCTTCGTGCATTTGGAGTTGGCTGCCAAAAGGGAAGGAAAACGGAATAGAATAGAGGAAAGAAGAAAACCTAAAACAAGTGAAAACAGCAATCCCACGGGGATGGTCAGGGCGCACTCACATTAGCATTTCTTCCCCAACACACCTACCCGCAATCGGGTGTAAACACATGTCAAAAAGCCTAGTGTGGAGCGTGCCCTGGACAATAGCCCGGGCAGCATCGTCGAGATGTTCAGAATTATTTTACTATAGTCATCTGGTTGTGTTAGGATGCCAATTTCGGTCTATACTTCAACTGTTCGTGGGTGTACCAACTGAGCTAGGCCCTTTGGTCCGCGGGCATGTAAGGACCAAAAAGGCCAAAGGGCTGACCCACGGGTCTTAGCAGGAAGGGGAAACCAAGGCAAAACCAAGGGGAATAACCAAGGGGGATAACCCGTCGGCGTTTCTGCCAATGCTCCATCATTCTGCCGCTCGCTGGCCTCGGTCCCAATACTTGCTCCATGATAGCTCAGTGCTCAACCAATAGAGCGGACCTGATCTTTGAAGTTAAATATCACACAAATGCATATAGATGGATTCCCTGTCAAGGTCGGGCCTACCAAGCCAAGGCTACGCCTTGGCCGCACCAAGCCCCCCGGCTGGACCCACGACCATAGTCTTCAGCAATGCTACACGAGGCCCGAAAGTCACACCTTGGCTATTGGGCTCGCCATTCACTACACCCAAGTCTACCCTTTTACTGTGAGCATGCGGCTCACCGCTCACACCAAGTCATATTCGATAAGTGTCGGCACGAATCTCATATACACGTCGGATCTTTACCAGTCCGACCTCAATAACTCCAGGTCAAAGTCGTGCCTTGGCCACACAACGCGCCGTCAACTACGAACTAGGCCACCCACATGCGGTATGGCCCGTCCCTTCCCAAAGAAGTCGTATCCTCGGTATGCAACCAAACTCGGTTGTACTGTTAGCGCAGACAACCAATCATTTCGTCGGTGACAGTCCGCGAGTTGGATCCAGCCGATCATAAAAGCAAATAAGGTATCATAAAGTAAACATATAACCAAAGTGCGGATGAATAAAAGTAAATAAAACGAACACAAATAAAAAGGGGCTGACAAGCACGACGGCCTTGGGCTGCCGCGTAAAACTGTTGATTGCCTTGCCAATCTATACGGCTGTCGGCAATCCAGTCACCTTTCACGCGTCACAGTAATACATACCCACACACACTTTCCAACCCTACTATACTTACCCAGACCACAGCCCAGCGGCTCGAGCGCAAGTCGCGCAAGAAGGGTGCGACGCCGTCTCAGCTAGCGGCGCGAACACACCTCATGTGGCCTGCACAAATCTAGGCAAATACCCTTGTAAGGATATTTGCTCCGACATTGTGATTAGAAAATATTTGACTCCACCACCGTCCCACCTAACCCTGAACTAAACAATTGAAAAAAGGAGTGAGAAAGTTGCAGCGGTGGTTTGTGCGAGGATAGAGGCGCAATAGTTATGTATAGGTCCATTATTCAACCTGAACCACAACGGATAAGAAAAGGGGAAAAAAAAGGAACCAGGGAGCGGGGACCGTACCAGACTTGCAACTGCCTCAAGACACTCGTTAGGGTCTTTTTCTAGTATTCTCAAGTGTTGTCAGGGAGGTGATTTGAAAAAACGTTGGATTTGCCCAACCCGCACTTTACCCACCCTCGCGAGTTTTCCTGCCCGTTCGCTAATCCCAAAAAATGAATGACGATTAGAACGCAATTAGGGAAAATAAAGTACATTGTGGAATGGTGTTAGGCAAGAAACACTGAGTTTTGAGTAGTGTGGAACGAGGCTCCTAATCAGGTAGCACTGTTCACCCGAAGAATGCAGTTTATGGCAAATAGGTGTTTCAAGTAAAAACCACCAGTACACTTCCAAACCATTTTTCTAGCAACAGAGGCTTCGTCAAATTCCCAGCCATTTTTCTAAGGGTTGCATGCAAACGCAAAGGCTTTGTTAAAGTGTCAGCGCATACAGTGGCCTACCTTCTTCCCCTGATGTTGTATTCGAGTTAAAAAATATATATATATATATATATATTTTTGAAAGTTTGTACTATTTTTTTTTAAAATAGAAGGGCACTTCGAATACAACGCATATACTTTGTATTCGAATAAAACTCATATGCATCCTATTCGAATTTCAAAAATATTT